TCAGTTGTTTGATCAAATGGCTCAAAAACTTTAATTAACTCTTCAACTAACTGCTATTCATTTTCATTAGGTAGGCAATGCCTAAGTTTCTAACCATCTTTTTTTTTCATCTAAATTCTATGAAATATTCAAATTTGCCTCTAGCCATACAATTGCATCTTTTAATTTGATTAGCCTTTTCCATAACTGATATTTTGAATTCTATCTAGTTGGACAGTCTTTTACTAATCGAAGAACTTGAGGTACTAAATTTATACTTGATTGCTCTATAATATCTCTATTATCAATTTCACTAGGTTCCTCACTTTCACTATATGGTTCAGTATTACTTAGTTCTGGCATAAATAATTGATCCCTTTCAGCTACTACAATTTGAGCTTTTTCTAGTTTTTCTATTTGTTTTGGAGAGTCAAAGAATTTAACAAGTTTTTTATTTTTTTAATATGCAAATAGACTTTTCATAAAACATGATTAACAGTTAGTTGTAAAGTATGTGCAGAACATGGAATTCGTTCAACAGAATTCTATTTTTGAATTGCTTTTACCATATTAGTACTATTATCAGTAACAGCATATGTAATTTTATCTTGAAGATTAAATTGAGTACATTTTTTTAGAATAAATTGGTAAATAGATTCACTTGTATGCGGATATGGCATTTTCTTACAGCAAAGTATTACGCTATGTAGTTTCCAATTTGAAGCTATCCAATGACAAGTAATTCCTATATAACCTTCTTTATTTCATGATGTCCACAAATCAGCTATTATTGCAGCAGTTTTACAAGAAAATGCAATTATACTTTCAAGAGTACTAATATTATTTTTATAACTTAATACTAGGTTATTCTTTATTAAACGATTAGAAGGAGGATGAAACTTTAGATCAATTACTGCTATCATTCTACGAAATCTTTTTTTTCGTGATGTAGTAAATAGTTCATTATCAAGAACAATCCATTCTATAACTGCTCTATTATTTTCTAATTGTTTAGTTTTTTTATATGGGATATTATTATTGATTAAATCAGGTAATTTAGTTTGGTATACTTGTTTAATTTCAGATTTTAATTTATTATCATTTAAAATGCTATGATCTGAACATAAATGAGCAATCATGTTAGATATTGACCTATCATGAGTATACTCTTTCTGACATTTTTGCTCTGTTCCTTTTCTTTTTATGATAACTTAGCATATATCATTTTTATTAACTAATTTAAAATATTTCCACACGAAACTTCTTTTGTTTTTAACTCTATTTTTTTTAGTTACAGGTCTAATAGTAGTATGAGAAAGATTACTTCGCTTATTAAAAAAATTTAAACTAGATTCAGCTTGTGAATTCTCTTGAGAATTCTCTTGGGAATCCTCTTGAGAATCCTCTTGAGAATCTTCTCGAGAATCCTCTTGAGGAGTATTCTGAAGATCTATTTCTGAAATAAAACAAAAAAAACTATATTTATTTATATATCTGTTGATTCTTATTTACTATCGTTATATTTACTTTTGGTTTTATGACTAAATATCTTGTTTTAATTAATTAATTATTTATTTATTATTTAATCTGAATATTTAATATTTAATCTGTATACTTAATATTTAATTTGCATAATTATTATTCAACTTGCATTCTTATTATTTAACTTGTGTACTTATTATTTAACTTGTATACTTATTATTTAACTTGCATACTTATTATTTAACTTGCATACTTATTATTTAACTTGCATACTTACTATCGTAAATTGGAAGAGCAGGTAACAGTACACAGTTTAGCTCTAATAGTTAATACGATACAGTTACAAACTCTATTTATTAAAAAAAGTAATAAAAAAAAGGATCGATAATTTATCTAATTTAAGATTAGGAAAGGGTTTGGTCAAAAAGAATGTTAATTTAAGAGAGGATCGTGATCAATATGATGTCAGTAAGGATAGTGTTACTCTTAAACTATAATAAACTAATAACTTAAATGTGATCATAATATTAATATTAATAATAAATCAACACAAGACAAACTCGGTCTGTGTTAGTATGTTAAATATATTCAATCAAACTATTCTAATATCTGATTATCTAACCCTAACAATATTCTCATTGTATTCTGTTACTCATAATATCTAAATCATACAATAACCTAAACAATAATACTACATGTGATGTTATCTATTTTGAAATCAATAAATATATCACTTATTTTATTAGATGCTGAATTACTAATTTTGAAACCTATTGTATTTAAAATTTAAATAATTTAAAATAAATGTGATTGCGAATTAATATATAATGCCTTTTTTTCAGTTGTAAAAGCAGATGCAAATTTTAATATATTATTTACATGACAACATTATCTCAAAGTGGTGCTCCGAAATTCAATAGATCCAATTTTCCTAAATAAACTAAACTAGCAATACAATACTATATATATAGTATGATTTAATATCTTTATAGCATTTAGATTTGTTTGAATTAGATTAGAATAGTATCTACTTTTTTATATAGCAGTTATTTACTATACAGTATATACTGTATCTAAAATGTAGATACCTTTTATTCTTGCTACATATACTGTTTACTTATTTTACATTAGTTACTCAGTTATTTATTCCAAATTTTTTTGTTAGTACTACAAAGTTTTCTTAGATCATAATTAATTCCATGGCAGATTCTCTGATTAGAGTTTAGATCTGTTATCCATTTTTATATTAAATTTAATGGATATCTGATAGATTTTATTATTAATCATTAAATTCAGTATTCAATGGATAATAGATCCAAACTCTACTCTTAACGAAGCAAACAGGAAAAAGTTAAATATCAAAAGCAGCTAAGAGTATCTGTGAGACAAGTTTTCTTTCTCTAATTTTAATAGAATAAAAGTAAATATATTGGATTTGGTTTAATTGTTTCTCATTATATTCTAATATCTTTACGAATGTTTAATCGTTTTTTTAAATCTATTATATGTTGGTATTTACTATTAAGTTTTTTGGAGAATATAGAAATCATTACCTACTTATTCTAGTATAGTTCATATCACATTTATTGGATATTTGTAGAAATACCAACATGTTATTTGTTTAATTTCTTCAGTTTAGTTTAAAAAAAAAATAAGGGAATTCTTGAAAGAAAATACTAATGCTAATACTAAACCTAAAATAATATAATTACGTA